TCTCATACATTCCTAACATGGAAGACAGAGGTTGAAACTTCCATATGGATTTTGTTTCTTGGCCTGGTTTATCCTTTTCTGGGGTGCAGATGCTGGCTGACTGTAACAGGGACTGAGCTTTCCTTCCTGCACGTGATGCCAGAGTACGTCTGAAACCAATCCTAGTGTCTTAGAAATAATTTGCAGGGGTTTTAGCTGTGTCTTTGTGCCTCTGTAGGCTGCCCAGCCTTCCGGGTAGAGTGCAAATCACTATTTATAAAAAAAAGCATTTTCAAAGTGGATCTTTGAACCTGCTGGACTGCACAGTTTCTCCCGTGCCATTTTTGATCCATTGTATAAATACAAATTTTGGCACGTGCACAACTTTATAAACTGCGTAATTGTTTTTATTAGAGTTCTGTGAGTTTGGAGGTACCTGTGCTTTAATTACCCTTGGCACTTTTCCAGGAAAACTCTTCTAAAATGTAGTGCTTGCAAAGCCTTCGTCGGGCCACCCACAATGACAGCTTTTATTTTTCCTCTATTAGTGATGGACATTTTCATTTAATTTCGGTCTGGGTGTGTGACAGAGCCCCCGTGTACAGAGCTGCAGCTTCCCCCTGTTCACTTTTCAGCCACAGAGTGGTCGGGACACCGTGGCAGCAACTGGTGACGTTTGGACAGGAGCCAAGCGAACGCTGTTTGCAAAGTTTTTTAGGTTGTCTGTCTTGCTTCCTTGGTCTCCCCTCCCCCTTTCAAAAATTGCTGGTGACACCAGAAATGCAAGTCAGTTAATCTGTTCTAAAATCTAAGCACCAGCCTACAGCAGAGACGGCCGGAGAAATGCAGAACATTGCTTGGAAGGTGGGTTTAGTTCCGCTCCTGAGCCCACATCTCTTGTGTCGCAGGACAGAGCAAGGACAATGGTAACAAGTCAGCAGGATAGCTGGAACTTCATACTCCATGCCAGAAAACGGGATGTCCAGCTAGCACAAATAAATGTGTAGAACTAATCAAATTAGGATGGACATGCTGTGCAATACAGAGAAATGCATGTAAGCAGAAAATTGTGTTTAATATTTGTAATCAAAAGCATTTATTTGGGACTATAACAGCCCGGCGCTACGTGCAAATTGGGTGAGGAAAAAATGTAAACATTGTTTCTTTGATTTCACGGAGTTAGGGTGCAGAAGGAATGCTGGATGGAGCTCCTTTTCCAGGGGCTCTGATTAAAAAGCTACATTAAATGAATTAAGGGCTTTTTGACAGAAAATATTACTGTAAATGGTGGTGGAAACTTATTCCACAATGATTACTCTTTATTGCAAGGAGTTTGCCAGAATTTATAGGATGCAAACTGAAAACTGTGGGTTTAGAGACAAGCTGAGGATATGACTTCTGTCCTGACACCATGTTTTAAGGCTTCTGCAGAAAGCAGAATTTAATAAAGAAACTGGTGAGACACTGGAATTTTATTTTGTGAACTTTCAGGTCCTTAAGGATCAGGAATTAATGGAGGAACTACACTAAGTCAACCAGTACGTGTTCTTGTTACTTATGAGTTTTCATGTCAGCTGAAATATAGTTACCCATAAACAGAATAACCAGTGACATGGTATAGCCATGTGTCACTGAAAAATGCAATTAACCATCATGCAAAAGCAACTCTATTCCAGTAGCTCCTACAGTAAACTGAACACTGGTTAGAAATGCAGAAACATGCTTTTGGGAACATGCTAGACTAGCATTTTCCATTCCTCAGAACACTGTAGTCAGCTTCAGATTTTGTGGAAGTAGACAAAGGAGTCCTTGGAGTTTCTATTTATGAGAGTAGCCTTTTAAAATCTGGGGAGGAGGGGGAAGAGGACGGTGCAGGAGTGGATCTGCTGTCAGCTGCCATTCCAGCGCTGTCTGGTACTTTATAACCCTGCTCTGTGGAAGTCAGAGCTGCAGAAGGTGCTGCAGCTGTGGGGAAGCTGAGCAGTGTCCTCAGACTCTCAGTGTGTCAGGATGTGCCCCCATCCCAAACCTGAGGGGCACCAACTCTCCCTGTTCACAGCCTTCTCTCCACACAAAGGATCCTTCTGGCAGGGAGGATACAAAGATTATCTCCACAGGTCCTCTAACCCAACCAGAGAAAGGAGCTGTGGTCAGGCATGCCAGCTGAAAGGATTTGGCCTCAAATTGTACAGTTTTGCATGGGTTTAGATAATGTACAGACGGATGTACCAATGGGATTTGGTACCAGCTGAGCACATCCCTGCAACTCCACTGAGTCTATAGGAATCCTTCCCCAAGGTCTTTTTTAAGTTGTTCATATTTTGTTCAACCAGTGGTCTTAACCTGCTGCAACTGAGTAACAGCTGCTGAACTCTTTAGACAAATTATATAAATTCACAAAATGCCTTGAGGTTATTGAATGAAAAGTGTAATGAGAAAGAAAAGACTCCTTAGCAGTTGCACTGTGTATGAAGCAAAACTGACTTTGGAACATAATTTCACTCCGGGGCCTCTTCCACTTGTGACAAAGATAAACCTGGTGGGTTTTAAAAACTACCAGCTCATTCTAAAGAGGGTCATTTGTAAAGGGGCTTCTAAGAAGACTTCTCTGCAAAGAGTTTCACCCAGCATGTGGTTAATCATCCCTCACTGGAAATGAAGGCAAAGGGCTCCTGTGCCTCACAAGAGGGAAACTTCTTCGTGAGGATAAACATAGAGAGCACAAAGATTGAGCTGGAAGAATCCTATGGACTGCTTATATGTATCCTGAGTAACCCAACAAGTGTGGAATTTGGCAAGAAATGGTCCCAGAAATGGTCAGCAGGAATGGACGGTTGAGGAAGCTGGATGCTGAGTTAGCAAAGGAAAATTCTGCTCTGATTCCACTATGCACAGTCACTGAATATCCATTAAAATGAGCCCCCCCTGCACCATTTCCCATTGGAAGTAGTCTGCCCCCAGTCCATATGCAGCTTGACTATGTTATAAATTATACAAATTCCTTTTAAACACAAATTAATCTGGAAGATAATCTAGATTGACAGCTCTCCGTCCTCTGTGGATCGTTCACTCATCTCAGTGGCCACAGATGTCACACATGATGAAGAGTTTGCTCTAACAAAGATGGCAAAAGAAACATGGTAGCGTTGTTCTCCTGCATGCCTGTCAGTCATGTAACCAGTAAGCACAGAACCATAGAACCACAGGAAGGTTTGGGTTGGAAGGGACCCAAAGCCATGGGCAGGGACACCTTCCTTTAGACAGGGTTGATTCAAGCCCCATCCCACCTAGCCTTGGGTAATTCCAGAGATGGGGCAGCCACAACCATGTGAGTTCTGTGTGCAGCTTGACTCTATCGTGATGGCCATGACAGCATAGCTCTCGGGGAAAAAAAATATCTAGGAAAGTTTATTGGAAAAGGATTCAGAATTAGAATAAAATCCTGAAAAACTGTAATCAATTTTCTCTGACATGCTCACTAGTCGAAACAAGAACGTCCATCTTTGCATGCAGACATCAGGACAGTGGGCAGACACTTTGCATGCAGGTGTGGTCTGTCTGGAGAGGGGGCTGAGACATCCTGGTGAAACTTGGGCTCTCCTCTTGTGAACTTGGTGTGGGTAAAGTGAAGCAGTAACTCACTGCTGGTGTGGAGCAGCAACCTCCTACTCTGCCTTGCAGCTCTGAGAGGAATCCTGACCTCCTGAGTCGGGGTCTGTAGCTGATCTCTAGGCTGGAGATCCCTCCCCAAGAAGGTTATTGTTACCTGCAGGGTGATGCTGCTCCAGGGTGACAACCTTTACTGGGTCTGCACAGTTCCTTGTATTCCTTGGTAATAGAGGAGCTTCTCACGTGGGTAGAACACAATTAGAACTGGTGGATACAAACCAGTAGGGGAAAAAAAGTGACCTGTAAAGACACTGACAAAACTAACCAGCATAAAAAATCAGTGGGAGCATCCAGCCTGAGACTTTAGGGAGGACAGAGCAGAATGAGACTGCAGTGTGGTAATGTCTGTCTCTGAGGAGAGCTGTGCTTGTGCTCATCTGAGGTGGGAGTTGTTGGGGACAGGGGGAGGAAAGCCTCCCTCTGACTGCATTGTTTACTCCACTGCTGGCTGTGCAGCTTTAGTTTTCTCTGATGTTTTGCATGGTGTGTTTGCACATGGAACCAGCTGCCTTGCAGGATTCTCTGATGTTTATGACCACCACAGCTAGGATCTTGATTGGCTCAGGGATGATGTTCTCTAAGCATGTTAACTGATCAGTGTTGCTGCCTACAGACCAGGAAAGGCTGGGGTCCCCTGCCTAATGCCAACTCAAATTTAGATGCATGTCATTTATAGTCATGCAAAACAGGGTCACGTTTTTTTCTTTTTCTTTGATCGTACCCAGAAACTATAAATCCCCAGGGTGAAATCTTAACTCTACAGAAACCCAGAGAAAACACTCTTTCTGTGATGCAAAGTTCATGGTGAAAGTTGTGTTTTTATTTCTTAAACAATTCTTGTAATTTCTAGAGAATTGTGTTTGTTTCTCTCCCCTCACAGCAAATTAAATGTCAGTTTTCATGGTCAGGTAGTCTACTGAAAACAATTGTGTCTGTCTGTTCAGGGTGTTGAGGGCTGATAATAAAATTGCAGCCCAGTAATTTTATATTTTTCTCCTATTATCTGCACACATGCACAGCATGTTTTATGTGTTCTGCTCCACTGGGACCATCATAAACCTGTGGCCAGCTCTTCCATTCAAATATACTCAGTGGGAGGTGGCAGGTGCATTGCTACAAAAAGATCTTGAAACTTTATCATAATATATTCAGCAAGCTGATAATGTAAAACCTGCTGGAAAGTGAAGAGAGGTGGAGGAGAAATTCCACGCCTGGGAACTTATTTAATGTTTAAAGACAGGAAATGCTTTGGAAGCAAAAATATCTCGGATCTGTCTAATCCACTGCCCCAGACTAGTTAGTGCGATACCCCTGGTGAAGGGGGCAGGTAGAGGAGATGACCTCCATCTCACCTCAGCTTCCACCATGCTCACCACAGCTCCTGTGCCAACTGGAGCAAAGAGGCACCTTAAGCTGACACAGTTACTGTTTATTTTCACTGTGTGACTGTGGGACAAGGGAGATTTTGAGTGAGATTGGACCGAGACACATACTGGAAAACTCTCTGGCACAAAAGGGAGATCATGAGGTGAGAGACACTTCTCCCAAGTGCAGCCAAAATCATCAGAAACAAGTTCTGCATAGATTTCCAGCCTGGACCAGTCCCATCCACTTCAGTACTTGTTTGCTTTTAGATTATTTGGATCTTTGATCCTTTCCTGAAGTTTTCTGTAGAAAAGAGTGTGTAACAGCACAACTACATTGGCTGGGACCAGAACCTGGCGCTATGTTTGGCTCAATTTGTTTGAGTCACTGTGTGAAAAGCTCCTTGATGGACATCAGTGTTCAGTTTCCAGTACCTGTCACAGCTGTGTTCGCTTCCCAGGCACCTTAATCTTTGTGTGATTTGTTTCTTTGTTTTCCCAATGATGTGACTTTTGAAAAGAGCAGAAAATAACAGCACATTGTCTCCAAGCGAGTGGTGGAAGCTGCACGGATTGTCCCGGACTGCGCTCCCCCAGCATCCTCAGCTCCCCCAGCGTCCTCACAGAACTCTGCTCTTTGTGAAGAGAGGGGATCTCATCAATGTGTGAAGGCATAGTGCCAACTATCGGAAACGTCTGATGGAGGAGTGCCGAGGGGATGGAGTCAGGTGAAACTTGGAGGTGTCCAGCAATGGGACGAGAGGCCATGAGCAGAAACCGATGCCCAGGAAGTTCCGCCTGGACGCGAAGAAGGACTTCTTCCCTGTGCAGCGGCTGAGCACTGGAAGAGATTGTCCAGAGAGGGTGTGGAGTCTCCCTCGCTGGGGACATTCCCGGACCGTCTGGAGACAACAACCCTTCGCCCGGTGCTCTGCGACGCCCGCGGTTGGACCAGCCGATCCGCCGCCATCCCTTCGAGCATCCCGCGCTCCCATCCGCTCCCCCGCCGGCCGCGCACCCCCGCAGGTGCGCCCGCCCCGCCCGGCTCCCCCCGCCCGCCGCGGCCGGCCCCAGGTGCCTCCCGGCCGCGGTCCCGCCCGGCCCGGCCCCGCTCCGCCCCGCCGCTGCCGCCCGCCCCGCTCGCCCCGGGCGCGGCCGCGGCGCTGGCGCTGCCGGAGGCTGCGCTTAAAGCGCGCTCGGGCGGCCGCGGCCGCGCTCACCTGGGCGCCGCTCCCCGCGCTCCGCCGCAGCGGGGCAGCGCCCAGGTGACCATGCGGGCTCCGGGGAGCAGGTAGCACCCGCCAGGGCCGCGGCGGAACATGGACTGGCTCCTGCTGGCCGGCTGGACTTTACCTGCTGCGATCCTCGGCGGCAGCTCCATGCAATTCCAGACTCTCCCGTGGCTCGGAAGCGCTGTAAAGGCAGGTCGAGAGCGCTTTCTTTTGCGGTCGCCTAGTGTACTTTCATACCAGGTTACTGCAGTTTCTGGTGCCTTGTCAAGGAAATCTCGCCCAATACTCCTTTTCTCTCTCTCTTATTTTTTTTCTCTTGCAGACCCTTCAGCTGTGTTGCCTCTGTTGCATGTCTCATGCAGCGACTTTAACCGGTGACAGCATCAGTGAATTGACTCACGGTTTGTATAGCTCTTTCTGTGTATGTGAACGTTTGCATGGATGCTTTATTTATTTGTTTGTTTGTTTATTTATCTCGGAGTGAATATTTAGAGGAAAGTAGTCACGCTGTTTGGGGAGCATTAAGTGCAAGCAGGCTGGCTACTGCGGGATGGTGAGCCCTGGGCAGGGATTAACTTGTTAAACCCTGTGTGCTACAGCTGAAAGGAACAATATGTAGCAGCAAAGCGAATGAATGAGATGGTTAATGCATCCGCCTTTCCATGTGCGCTTAGAAAGATGAATGCGTGTGTAGCCACAGCAGCAAAGCCTCATGTGTCTGTTGTGGAAGCAGTGAGACAAAAGTCATGAAAAGGTTCGTGTGGGAGAGCAGGAGGAGCTGTGCAATGCAGGCTGAGGGGGAAAAAAATCCTGGAGAGAAAGGGCTTGTGTGAGTGGGAGCTCAGGAGCCGTTTGTTCCCAGGTTGGAGTGACTAACACGTAGATGCTGATGACTTTGGGACTTTTGAAGTGCAGGATATGCTTTGTATTGTGTGTGAGTAGAAACAAAGTACAACAGAGAACCACAGCAGGGTGCAGAAAGGAAAGCCCTCTTGCACCCTATGCTCTGCTCACTGGGGGATTCCCTCTCTCCAGCAGCTGCTTGCATTTTTTGGCCACCAGCCTGCTTAGCGTCCTCAGCTTCTGCCGTTGATTAACACCACTCGAGGAAAGTGAAAGCTCCTGATGTATTGTTTCCACTGTCTGAGGAAAAGCGACCTATCAGTGGTCACGTTTTCAGCCTAATGTGTGTCCAATAAAGTCTATTCAGGCAAAGAGATTGATTGAGACTATTTGTAACATCTGTTACAACGCAGGAAGGAGGGGGTTTTCTTCATTTTTAATCGTGTTATTTCAGTTTAGGAAGAGAAATTAATTGTCAAGTGCATGGACATCTCCAACTATCCACAGAGAAACACAGCTCACAAATTAAATGGGGTTGGGAAGCAGTTTTTTCAGCGTAATTACTTAGGCTACCAGGAATAGATGCAAAGATCATAGTTCAGGAAATAGCCAAAACTCAGACCCTGGTTCCAGGACACAGGTAATCCCTGCATGGCTAGGTCAACACCAGTGGTAATGCACTGCAAGTGAGGCACCTGCTTGTACAGACAGCTGAATTATGGCCTCTTTTCCCCTTCCCCCCACTCCCTTTTTTAGGTGATTCTGAGTAGATCTGAGTGTTCTCCTCAAAAACAGTTTTATAATTTTTTGCATGTTTTACTCAAAACAATAAACTCCTTTGACATGCAATTAGTAATGGCTGAGTAAAGGTTATTAGGTAGGATGTAATCTCTTTCTGCTGGAGGTCAGGTACAATTTGAAACCCAGTCTAATCAAGTCACTACAAAGAGATGAGGTCTTACTCATTTAAGGCATTAATAAATTAATCCTTTAATCCATTTGAACAAGTGGTACATTTCTGCAAGGTCTCAGTCATGGCTACCCCTACAGTGATACAAAACTTGCTGCATTTTTGGGGAAGAGCTTCTCAAACCAGAGCAGCTTTCACATTTGACAGCAATTAATACAGGGGGAGGAGAAAATCTACAGATCTGCTGGTGATGACAAATGTCTTCAGAGGAGCAGTTGTGGGAATGTTCACAGCTATGCTAGTTAGTCTGTGCCTCTCAGTGGGGCAGAAAGGAAACAAACACGGAGCCTGTGTGACTTACGGGGGTGAATCCGTGCGGGTGAGACAGCGCTCACCGAGGCTGCAGAGCCTGCAGGCCAGCCCCAAAGCGAGGGGATGCTCCATGCCACAAGGAATGCCTGATACCCTGTCAGAGTGATACCCTTGTTTGTGGGATGCCAGAGCTGATGGGCAACTCTTTATCGTTACAGATTATGTGTTTGTGACACCTGTCAGAGTGGATGCCAGCGGATCGTACATTTCACATGATGTTTTGCACAGTACTAGGAGAAAGAGATCAACTCAGAGTTCAAAGAGTTCCTTGCACTACAAATTTTCAGCATTTGGACAGGAACTTCACTTAGAGCTTAAACCTTCGACCATTTTAAGCAACAGTTTTATTGTCCAGGTACTCGGGAAAGATGGAGTGTCAAATTCTCAGGAACATGAAATTGAGCAGTGTTTCTACCAGGGATTTATAAGGAATGATAGCACCTCTTCGGTAGCAATATCTACGTGTGTAGGCTTGGTAAGTGTCTATTTAAAACAAATCATTAAAAGTATTTTCAAATGTGGAATAGTAGCTGAAGGAATGTAGTTCATATAACATTCAGGACACCATACACCCTTTTCTGATTTTTCTAGTATCACTAGTTGTTATTATATTTAACAGAAGAGATTTTGTTATAGCAAATGAACTGCATCAAAACCTTTGTATTTTTTGGTGACAGTCTTTCAGGAAAAAAAACAGAAGACTGGTAGTCCTAGCAATTATCCCATAGCAATTTGTTAGAGTTTGTGATAGTTTATACATCTCTGCTCACTCTTAAGTAAAAGTTCTTCCTGCCTTTGTGAACTGTGATGAATAAAGGAAAAAAAAAATCAATCCAGAAGCTTGTGAAAAAAAAAAAAAAATTACCTAGGTTTGTCAACTACTTTAAGGAAGGGTGAATTTCCTAGCTTGGCAGGAGTTATGAACAAATTTCCCTTTGTTTCCTTGGATAATTCAAGCCTTATTTGAGTTCACAAGTCTTGATCAGTTGATCTCTTATGAGTGTATTAAATATTATCATTGTGTGTTTTCCATTTATGGCTGTCAGCCAAGTTCATGAAAAATCATTATTCACAGGTGATTTTTTCAAAATACGTTTGACAGTGCTCATTGCCTGCAGAGAAGGCTTTCCTGATGTAATTTAGGAGAATCATCTACAAAACTAAGAGTTAAGGATGTTTTATAGGCTTAATCCCCCCTTGCACTTGCAAAGCAGTCTGCTGTGGCTGCAGAGGAAGGCAGTGACATTGAGTGGGAAGTGTATGAAGTCATCTGTGTGCTCTGTGGTTGACTGAAGGTCCAGAGGATATGTTGGGTCACCCTCTAGAGCTCTGTTTTGCAAAGGTACTTGTCTCTGAGGGCTGTTAAGCTGTGTGACGGGACCAAAGAAGGAGCACTTGAGACAGCCAGTGTTTCCTTTGAAACTGGAATCAGTGACTTGAGAAGCCTGTTCATTAGGAAGGGCTGTTGATAACTGCTTGAAGTGGTCTGGTTTATATTTTGAGTGCTGTACCTGTTTTTTTTTCCCTTTTTTTTTTTTTTTTTTTTCCCCCTCATCAAATTAGAGGAGTCTTAACAGTTCATTTGAACAGTAGCAAATGTGAGTTTGGAGCAGGTGCCAGGAGCTGGGTTGAAGCTTTCTTTTGCT